AAAGAAAGGAAAGAAGAGAGAGAGCACCAGTAGGGGGAGGAACAGAGGGAGAGGTGCCCCTGGAGGACTTTTTAAAAAATCTCATTTATTAACATCACTACCAATCTTTTTATTTATTTACTTATTTATTTATTTTAAAGTAATCTTTACATCCAACATGGGGCTTGAACTCACTATCCCAAGATCAAGAGTCGCATGCTCAGGGCCCCTGGGTGGCTCAGTCGGTTAAGCAGCCAACTCTTGGTTTCAGCTCAGTTCATGATCTCAGGGTCCTGGGATTGAGCCCTGCTTTTTGGCTCCATGCTCAGCAGGGAGTCTGTTTAAGATTCTCTCTCTCTCTCCCTCTCCCTCTGCCCCTTCCCCTGCACTCACGTGCTTTCTCTCTCTCTCTCTCTTTCTAAAATAAATAAATAAACCTTAAAAAAAAAAGTCGCCTGCTCTACCAACTCAGCCAGCCAGGCACCCCTCCTGGGGGACTTCTGTAAAGTCCATGAGGGGGGCCATGTCCCCTCAGTGGCCCCTTCAGGCCACCAACTGGGACAGTCCATTGAGGGCTGCCTGAGACCACAGAGATGCCTGGGGCTATGTCTCAGTACTGGCTTTGCAGGGAGCAATGGGAGAGGCCCACCCACCCTCCTACCCACCAAACCCTGTCTGAGGTCAGTCCTAACAAGGTCCTCGACAAGGAAAGTCCCTGGGCTGCAGATCGTGACAGCCCAGAGGAGGGACATCTTACCTACCCTTGAGGAGTCAGGAAGGCAGCCTGGAGGGCATGCCCAAGCTGGCTTTTGAAGGATGAATAGGAGTTCTCCAGGCCAAACTGTAGGTGGGCTGGGAGAAGAGGTTTTCCAAGGAGAAGAAAAGTCAAGTTCCCTGGCTGGGTGGGGGGGGGGGTTGGGGAAGGCAAATAGAATGATTTGGAGGGAGAGAGAGAAGAGAAAAGGAATAGAAGGAGAGAGTTGGGTGAGGAAGAGCATAGGGCTTGCGTCCAGACAGACCCGAGTTTGAGTCCGGCTCTGCCATTGGTTGGCCCTGATCCAGGGAGAGTCTTCCTCCCTGAGCCTGTCTTCTCGTCTGGAGAGTGTGATAACAGTGCCCCCTCGTGGTGGAGCCACTGTGGTACTAGGGATAAGGCCTGTTAGCGGCTTGAGGCTACGGAGGGGCCAGAAGCGGAGGCGGCAGACCCCGTAGCCTTTTGTAATGTGCCCCCTGGGCTTCTACCCGTCCAGGAGGGGAAGGTATTGGCTTAAGCGCTGGTGTTCCAGACTCCGGTAAGAGAGAGCAGGGCCAGGAATAGGGGACGGGAGCCGGGTGAGTGGTACAGCGCAGGGTCCGATACTGTCCTTTTTTAACATTTTGGTAACTCATTCATCACGGATCTCCTTGCATTACTCGACTTTAAAAAAGAAATGCTGCGCTAACGTAACTGCGCTGGGAGCCCCGACACCACGTGAAATTCTGCATTAGCTTCCAGGATAACTTAGGTCCATGCAAGCTGCATTCGAAGACCTTGAACAAGCCGGGTGAGGGGCTAGGGCCAAGGTCATTACGCCGCTTTCCTAAGCCCATCAGAGGGAACGTCAGCGAGTGAGGTGGCATCGGGGCTAGAAGCCCAGACGTCCGGCCCCTTTTTTGGGAATGAGGTCTTGAAGGCCCAGGTTCGACAGAGTGCTGGGGGGACTACCCCCATTCATCCCACCTGCCACGAGAATGGCGCTGAGCCCAGGTTGGACCGGAGGGGGATGGGCAGGGACTCGGTGCCGGGACCTCCGCTCTGCTGCCCTCGGTCAATGCCTTCTCCCCCCACACCGGCCTACAGGAGGATGGTATTCCAGGGCAGCTCAGCGACAGCACGGAGGACCTCAGCCTGGACTTGGGGGCTCTGCAGGGCAGCGAGTATCTCCAGGACCTGGGCCTTGGGGCCTTTTCCCACAGCCAGCCTGGGGGGGCCGGGGACAGTGGCCACCCCAGCGAAGAGGTCGGAGGAGCATCGACCTTCTGCAGCTCAGCAGAGACCCGGGGCCTGCCTCGGAGACGCAGCTGGGAGAGGTCGCGGAGCTGCTCCGGGAGCTGGCAGAGGTCAGCCCGCGCCACCAACCGGTGCTTTCCCTACCTGCCTCCCTCAACACCCCCGCCCCAAGTCACCGCAAGTAGAAATCCAATCTGCCATGCAAAGACATGGACCTACCTGCAAATTCGCCGGCAAGGCTCCCCTGACGACCCCTCTGATGGAGGGAGAGCGAACACCCCTCCGGATTCTGACCACTCCTCCCCGCCCCAGAAGGATGGCCCCGCAGGTCCCCCCAGGCCCCTGGATGCTGGGGCCGGGGCCACCGCCAGGTGGAAGAGACGCACCAAAGACCTGCCTTCCTCATTTCTTCCACCAGGCTCAGCCTTGAGGCCTCGGCTGTGAAGGAGGGGCCCTGTCTCCCTCGGACACTGGCCAGCCTTACTCTGAACCTACCCGGAGAGGATCTGCAGGCCTGGACCCAAGAGTGTCTGTCTGGGGGTGGGACCCCAGCAGAGCACCCAGGCAAGGTGGGTGCAACCTCCAGCCACCCCTGACAGTGGTACAACTCTGGGCCCAGGGGCCAGCATGGCAGCTGGGAAGGAGCTCCTTACCTGTAGCTGGTAGGACTTACCTGTCACAGCGGGGCTGTCCTTGGGTAGCCCAAGACTGGGGAGTCACCAAGTCCTGAGATTGCAGCCCAAGCCTGAGGGTTCTTCACTGGAGTGGGGTCCACAGTAGGGACCCTCGTTTACAAGTGCAACCCATGATCTGGGAGGCAGAGGAGATGGTCTCTGCATCTTTGCAGCTAGAAGGAAGCCCCGCCCGTGACTGGTAGATCTTGTCTCAGGTCTGGGATTCCAGCCTCAGGGCTGTAGCCTGTGGCTGGGGCATCTTTGCCCTGGACCATGACCTGGGGAGAAACCCCTGATGGGCTGGAATCTGGAGCTCAGAGTTTTGAGGCTCCAGCCCACAGCTGCCGCTATGGAGATCCATCCCCGTGCCCTGTGGCTGAGGGGTGCCCCTACCTGCCGCTGGAGGCTGGAGGCTGTGGACCCTCCATCTGGGGAGCTTGCCTGCACCCCGAGCTGCCTCTCTGGCTTAGTGAGATGCTTATTCCCCGCAGGAATGTGACAGCCCTGAGAAAAGAGTAAGGTCACGGTCTGTTCCTGTGTCCTTCAATGAGATCAGCTCCCTGGAAATCTCTCCCGCTTTGGAGGTGCCCACTCCAGCTGTTCAAGGTAGCCCAGCCTGAGGGTTTCCCTCATTTCAACCAAGAAGGGTAGGGGGTTTCTGCTGGAGGGTTCCCTGGTTGGAGCCCCAGACAAGCCTGAGAGAGGAAAGGACTACTGATGGGTGGGCGGGAGGCTTCGGGGCCCCATGGGCAGGAACTGAGCAGAATTCCTGGGGTGGGGGGGGGGGGGGGAGGCGGCCCCCCCCCCCCCCCCTCCCCCCCCCCCCCCCCCCCCCCCCCCCCCGGGGCCTCCAGCCACGGTGGACTGCAGTCCCCTTGCTCCCCTGGGGCTCTTCTTCTGTCTCTACCTCTGTCCCCTACTTTAGCTCCCTCGTTATCTCTGAATCTCCGTCCTAAGAGCTTGTGTCTCCCTGCTTTCAGAGGGACCTGAAGTCTAAACCCAAATCTACCACTTTCTAGTAAGTCTCTGAGCCTTGCGGCTTTGTAAGAATCAGGGGCGCCTGGGTGGCTCAGTCGGTTAAGCCTCCGACTCTTGATTTCCACTCAGGTCGTGATCTCAGGGTCGTGAGATGGAGCCCCATGTTGGCTCCGCGCTCAGCTGGGAGTCTGCTTGAGATTTTCTCTCTCTCTCTCTCCTTCTGTCCCTCCCCCCCCCACTCTCTCTCTCTAAAATAAATAAAGAATAAAGAAAAAATATGGAACAATAAGTGTATCTCCTTAGGGCTACTTGGAGGGTCCACTGAGTGCACATGCGCAAAGCGCTTGGCACATTGTCCGCAGTCTTGAGACCCAGGGGTGCACCCCCAACGCTGGCTCTCTACCCCTCTTGGTGCCTCTCCTCCCCGAAGGGCAAGTCCCATCTGGAAGGTCTCCAGTTGTGCAGGGATGGGTCACAGGGGGCCCAGGTGGGGCTGGTCTGCCCCAGAGCCTCCTCACGCCTGTACCTCCCGGGGTGGGGGCTGCTTCCAGGCATGGAGCCCCCAGTGCTGGAGTGCATGGGAAAGGACCACGTGGAGCCAGACCACGTGTGAGTATCTGCCTAGTGGTGGGGAGGGGTCCCCAGGGGACAGCCACGGGGCAAGGCTGGGGTCCCTCCCCAACCCCCCCATAACCTCGGGCTTCTCTCCCACAACATCCTTCTCCCAGAGGAGAGACCCAGGCCTCTCCGAAGGGTTCTCAGTATAGCATCAGGGAAGGGGGGGGGCGGGTCTCCGGGTCAGGGTCTACATCAGGCCCCGGGGGGCCTGGTTGGGCAATCACAGCTGGCTGGGGGAACACGTCTAGGACCTGGGGCAACTGTGAGCTGTTTTTATCCACACTCCCCCCTGCCTCCTGCCCCAGGCTGATTGTCCAGCAGGTGCTTCAAGAACTTCGGCAGTACCATGGGTAAGTGAGAAAGGGGACAGGCGTGAGGGCACGGGGTGGGAAGACAGGGAGATAGGGGAGAGAAACACGGACAGGAGAGGTGGGGGGAGAAACTAATGTGGGAAAGGGCAGGGGGCACGAGCTGCGGAGGAGGGAGCCCAAGAGGTAACTCAGCTCAAATGAGAAACGGTGCCTCTTTCCCAAGACACCGCCATTTGCTAGAAAATCTTCCTGACATGCTGGTTTTGTCTGACCAAGATGTGTTAGCACGCTCTGCTGGAAAACCAGTCGCAGTGATCACGGATAGAGCACACAGTGGGAGGGATGGTGGGGTCTCGGATGTGGCTCCAGGGCGCACGGAAGCACTGGGGGAGGGAGGAGGCAGGAGATGGGGCAGCTGGGGAAGGAGGGGCCGCTGACCCAGGGGTCTGTCCCCTCTGATCCTGCAGGGCCCGGCAGAGGTCTTGCTTGTCAACCAGCCCTGGAGGAGCCCACGCAAACCTCACCTGGTTTGAGTTCCTGTCTGAGTAAGTCTGCAGAGCTACTGCAGGGGGGAGCTTTGGGCTGGGGCCTGCACTGGGTCTGTACACGCCTTCCAGCGGCCCTCTGTGCAGGACCCTAAGCTGGGGGCAGGAGGTGGAGTCCCCATACTCTCCCTGGAACTGCCAGGGCAACGGTGGTGGTGGGGCCTGGGGAGGCTCCTCATATACCCTGGGAGGGCAGAGGAAGACTTTCTGGAGGAGGTGACAGCTTGAGCTGGTCTCCAGTGGAAGAGGAGGAGGTCACCGACGCATGGAGAGGAGGATTGGGAGAATAAAGAGACACCTTCCTGAAGAAAGGGCAAGGCCTGAGGAAGGGAGTCGGGTGGGGCTGGGAAGAGCGAAGGGGAGGGGAGTCAGCAGATCACCTCGGTGACACGAAGGAGCACAGCTCTTTGGTGACTGATAATGGTGAGCACAGACGGGGCTGGGGGGCAGGCAGGGGCTGCAGCCTGGAGTTGTGGGATCTCCCTCCAGTGAATCGATTCTACGAGGGCTGGGTTTGTTTGCCGCCGACTTAACAGATACAGCTGATCCTGGAACAACGCGGGTTTGAACTACACGTGCCCGCTGATACATGGATTTTTTTTCAATAAATAGAGTATACGACTGTAAATGTATTTTCTCTCCCTAATGATTTTCTTAATGACATTTTCTTTTCTCTGGCTTACTTTGTCGTTAAAACCCAGCACCTAATACCTGTAACGCATAGAATATGTGTTCGTTGACTGTTGACTTTACCAGTAAGGCTTCTGATCAAAAGTAGACTATCAGTAGTTACTTTGTGGGGGAGTCGCAAGTTATACATGGAGTTTTGACTGTGCGGGGGGTTGGCGACCCTAACCCCTAAGCTACTCGAGGGTCAACTGTATTTATTACATGAGGTGGTACCAGTAATCCAGTCACCTGGGGCTGGAGCGTTAGGGGGAAGAGGAGAGCGGGATTTGAGAGCTATCCCAAAGGAAGAATGGGCAGGATTTGTAAGCTGATTAGATATTGGGGTCAGGGGTGAATCAGAGAGAGGAGACAGAAATGGACAGAGCCAGGATTTCCAGCCTCGCCCACTGAGGGACCCCAAGCCTGAGACCACGTCACAGTCCCCTCAGTAAACCCAGCCCCACAGTTCCCGGAACTTTGCAAACATCTGTAAATGTTTGTTGAGTGAATAAGTGAGAGGCAGAAGGAGCGAGTTCAGGGACCACAGAAGAAGTGAAACAGGACTAGGGGGCCATGAGGAGGAGACAAATTCCAGGTGGGGTCCAGGAGCAACTTGCAGGACAGGCCGAAAATGGCCCTCTGGCCCGGCTGCCCCACCTCGTTCATCTTTCCATCCCTTAGGAGCGAGGATGGCGCCAGCAAGATTGAGCGGAGTAACAGGAGCACCAGGGTGAAGCGCAGACTGAGCTCCCTACGTTGTCGGGTCACCAGGCAGAAGGAGAAGGTCAGGGGGCCGGGCCAGCGGGGACCTCCCTCCACCTTCTCTAGCTCCTCAATACGCCCCCGGCCCTGGAGCCCCGTGATTCGAGGTAGGTCTGAATGCACAAGGCGTTCTAAGGTTCACTTCTGTCCCCCACAGGGGAAGAGCCCAGTGCTTCTAAAGGACAAGGCTCAGGATGCTAGAGAGAGAAGGGAATGTGTCAACGGGCACCAGCTGGCACAAGGAACCTTCCTTGGCCACTCCAGCTGCCCCCTGTGTGGCAAACCCTTTCTGAGCTCTGGTAAGTCCCGTGGCCCGGCCCAGCCCTCTGGATGGCAGCCACTTTCTCTGCTTTATTGCCTCTCATTCTCTCTCGTGGCTTCCTTTGCCTGTCGCGTCCTCATCTCATTCACCCTTGCCAAGTGGAGGCTGACCTCACCAGGTCCCTTAAGGGCAGGACCCATGTGGTTACCTGTCTCAGCTTTTGTCACTGCAAAAACCCTCATTTAGGGCTGCCTCACAAAATACCACAATCTGGGTGGTTCGAGGAACAGAATTGTAGAGTTCCCCCTTGAATGGTGCAGGGGGTTCGGGACGCTGATGCCCTGCCCCCCATACACACACAGTCGACAATCCAAGACTAACTCCTCCCACCCCGCCCCCAGAGGGGGTAGGTAGCCCCTTTTCTCCCCTCAGCTTTTAATTTAAGAATCACAGAAAAGTGGAGAGAGCAGAAAGGGTCCCCTTCTAACCTCACCTGGGTTCCCGTCACAGTAGAATCTTCTGTGACCACCGTACGTTGGTCACAACTCGGGAATCCACATTGGTGCCGTAATATTAATCAAACTGCAGCTTTCCCTCAGATGTCGCCAAGGTTTCTTCTTCCGTTCGGGTTCTCTCTGTTTCCAGACGCAATTCAGAATAACGTGTTCTCTTTCATCATCCTGTCTCCTTCGTCTCCCTGGTCCGTGAACTTTTCTCAGTCTTATTGTTCATGACCTTGACAGTCTTGAGAGGTATTAGCCAGGTGTCTAGGACAACCCCCACCGGGGCTTGCCTGATGTTTTCTCATAATTAGACAGGGTTATGGGTTTGGGAAACTTCTTGCCTCATCAGATCAGGGGGTTAAGTGCTGTCGATCTCATATCCCTGAGGATGTTAACCTTCGTCCCCTGGTTAAGGCAACCTCTGCCAGGTTACTATCCTTTCCATCTCCCTACTCTAGTCTTTGGAAGCAAGTAACTCAATCCAGCCTACTCTCAGGATGATGGGAATCAAGCTCCACCTCCTGGAGACAACATTTGATTTTCAGGACAGCCATTTGCGATCACAGATTTGAGCTGGTGTGAAAGAAAATATGTGGGTTGCCCTTAGCCTGGTGCCTGGCACATGTGGGCAATGTTAGCATCCATCATCATCATCATCATCATACCCATGTGTTGTTGAGTTAAAGCTAGCAGCTAAATCACAGACCCACAACCGTGGGCTTTGACCACAGCTCCCACAATTGTGTAGGAGGCCCGTGGGGCCAGATCAGCTGTGGCTCACTCCCTACAGGCTGAGAGCAGGCACCTCCCAGGTATAACTAGCCACAGGCCTATCATCACTGGAGGTATTCAAAGCCAGATGTTACTATCTGTCCCTTAGAGGAAACAGCCCCGGAGTAAGTTAAACAGAACAGGGAATGAATGAGTCACACTCCAGGTAATTACAGAAGGTGGGTCTCCAGGGTAAAGCTGAGATGCTTTCCCAGAGACCAGCTCCACTGACAGAACACCATTCCAGATAGTTTTTGTTTTGTTTTGTTTTTTAAGATTTTATTTATTTGAGTGATAGAGAGAGCGCTCAAGCAGGGGGAGCTGCAGAGGGAGAGGGAGAAGCAGACGATGAGCCAGGACGATGGGATCACGACCTGAGCCAAAGGCGGACGTTTGACCAACTGAGCCACCCACGCACCCCTCCGGACAGTCCTATTACTGGCCTTGACCTCTGAGGTTCTTCGCGGTCTGACCCCGCCTACCTGTCCACTTTTGCCTTCCACTACTCAGCCACCATGAAGTCTCGTGGCTGCCCACACACACCTGGCGCCTTGCTCATTCAGTGCTGTTCCTGGAACTCCTTTGGCCACCTAACTCTTACTCACCCTTTAGAACAAAGCCAGGGCCACCTCCCCCAGGAAGCCTGGATTGTGGATTGGGTGACTGTATCAGCATCTGACTGTCTCTGAGGCCAGTTGCTGTCAGCCAGAGGACGCTGGCAACATCTTGCATTTTTTGTTGTCAGGACTGGGGTGCTGCTTGCACCTAAGTGGACAGAGGCCAGGGGTGCCGTTCAACAGCCTCCAATACACAGAACAGCCCCCAACAACAGGCAACTATCCAGCCCCAATTGACAATAGGGCCAAGACTGAGAAACAATGCCATAGGCTTACATTCCCTGTGTCTCCTTAGCTCTTAGCAGAGTCCCTGGCCTATGAGAAGGACATAATAAATGCACAATGGAAAGATAAAAGAAAGACGAGAGATACCTCTCCTTGTTGCCAGGCTCCTTGAGAAAGTTGGTTTTTACATTTAGGGGAGAACTGTGCCAACCTGAAGGTTTCTATAACCAAGGTAGCTATAACCATAAGGATCATGCCACTTTTCCTGCTTAAAATCTTCAATGGTTCCCCACTGCCTTTGGAATGAAGTCCAAAAGTCCTAGGAACTCACAGAGAGTGAACATTTACACATCCATTGAGACCTCAAAAGTAACTGTGTCAGGTTTCTGACTTCAGAAGCATGTCCTTGCACTTCTGGAACCTCCAATTTCCTGGACGTGATCCCTCTCTTGACCATGACAAAATGGACTTAAACCGAAGGCAGGTCACTTGGGGACTCCCACCCCGTTTCTGAACTGAGGGCTCTCGGCCACAGATTGTGGGTGTTTTGAAGTGAGTCTGGCTTGTTAAGATCTCGGCCTGGCTGGCCAGCTTGAACCCGGTGAGAGAGGGGCTTGGTTCCTCTCCTGAGTACTGCCCAACTGTCTCACCTGGATTGGAACAAGCAGCCTTAGAGCTGCGAAGTCTGATGGCACCTGAGGGGGTGGCTGCGCTGGGGGAGGCATCTGGCATGTCTTCCAGTGTCTGAGAACACCTGTGTGGGGGGTGGTCTGGCATGTATTTTAGACTCTGAATACCTGTCTGGGGGTATCTGACATTATCTGTATTGGGGGTATCTAGTACGTGTTTTGGGGGAGTATCTAAAGGTTTCTGAGTAGGGTCTCTGAGATGTTTCTATTTGAGGGTATCTGATGGCTCCTGGTACTTTCGGGTATTCTGGCATGTTTTTCAGATTCTGAATACTTTGGGGCAACTGACAGATCGAGGTGGGGTGTCTGACCTATTCGCGGATACCCGAAAGCATGCTCTGGGTTTCCGATGGCACCCGCCTGGGTGCCTAGTATGCGTTAGGGGTATCTGGTCGTACCCATGCTGGGGTGTCTGGGGCCACCTGAGAGGCATTATGGCTCATTTTCCCCAGATTTGTCAAGCTTCCTGTAATCTACGCTGCCCCTGTCTTCTCAGGTGACGGACCTGTTTTCTCCATTGCTCGCACCCTACCCTCAGACTTTTCGCCCCAGGCTCGATCCCCTTAGCCATGCCCAGGCGCCTCCCTCAAGACGTCCCCCACCCCCGCTGACCCGCCCCCAGGGATCGTCCTCACCCCCTTCGCAGAGACCCTCCCGGTTCGGTCCTGGGGTCCCCCACAAGGCCAGGCGAAGGTCCCCCCCACCCCGCTCCAGGTTCAGCCAGAAACAAAGTCTGCAGTTCCGGGGACTCCCGGACTCGCGACCCCCGCCCCCTTCCAGGCCCACGCCCTCTGACCCGCCCTCGGGGCGGGGACACGCGTGCGCAGCTCGCCCGTACGGCTTCCCGCTTCCGGCCCGGGGCTGCGGGTCGCTGTGGATCCGGCGAGGCCGGGCGGCAGCGGTGGCGGCGGCGAGCGGGCTGCGGGGGACCGGGCCGAGGTGAGGGCAGTGGGGCGGGCCCGAGGAGAACGGAGCTCGGGAGGGAGGCCTCGGGCCCCGGGAAGGCGCCGTCGGGCCCCGGGGGCGGCCCCTGGCGCGGGACCCCCGGGGCTGCCTCAGCCTCGGGCCGGGCCCCCGTGGACCCCTCCGAGCCGGCGGGCGGGTCCTGCAGTTCAGGCAGCCCCTTCAGTGCGTTTGGGCTCTGCCTGGCGACTGCAGGGGTGCAGACGATGCCCGCTGGCCCCATCCGAGCTCCAGCCCTTGGGCGGTGCAGCCTTCCCCCGCTCCGGGGAGGGAGGTCACCGGGCTCGAGGTTCGGGAGCGCCCGGGGCAGGACCGGGGATGTAGTGATAACCATAAACAGTAACCAGCGCCGTGGTGCGTCGGGCCTCTGGGAGAACTCACGTCCTGGAGTGGACGCCTCCGTGCTAGGGAGCTTTGGGGTAACAAAACTATACGAAGTGTGTGTGCTTTGGAGCTTCCTTACTCCGGTTCCTCGTGGAAGAATTTAGATGGTGCGGGGCAGCCTTCGCTGCAGGGAGAAATCAGAGGCCCTTGATCCTTGCATGGTTTGTGGTAGTTTATTTCCCCCTGTCTCTTTTACCTGTTGCTGTGTTGAGATGGAAGCCTTAGAAGAGATGGCTGGCACAGAGTGTAAAAAAGTTTTCTTGGGAGGGGGAAAAAAAAAGTTTTCTTTTAAGTTTTACGGTGGGAGTGAAGAACACAACTCCTGCCCCTTCGCCTCATTTGGGGAGAATGGAACTCCATCCAAAAGCCTTAAAGGGCCTTTTTTCTTCTTGTTGGGTAGAGAGAGTTCAGGACAGCATGAACAGCCCCATGGCCAAGGGCGATTTGGGGATGATTTTGCAGGTATCTGGGTGAATGATTAATCCTAAAGCTGTGTGACTAAGTGTCAAGAGCGCAGGCTTCAGTGTCACATCAGATCTGGGTTCTGGTCCCCATTCCACCACATATTAGCCATGTAACCTTGCTAAGCCTCAGTCCCCCCCCCCATCTTTAAAATGGGTATAAGGATTGATTAGAGAGATTCCATGAGGTAATATGTCTAAAGTGCATAGCAGAGTGCCTGGCATATAGTGAATGCTCAATAAATGTTATTTGTTCTGTGTGTATGCGCATGCCCCCAGACCTGTATTTTTAGGCTGACATTGCAAATAATAAAGAGTCTGGAAAACTTGAGCATCTCGGTTGTTGTTTGGACTGGGTCAGGGTGTACACTTTATCAGTAGTTTGCTATCCTGTGGGTCAAGCCCTTTTGAGAAAAAGGTTGTT